CAAAAGTCATAGATTGAAGATGATTGGGTTCTATTCTTAACATTCAATTCAAGATGAGCTCCTGATTTTCTAAATAAAGCATCGATTAGATCTTTAACTTCAAATGAGTGTACTTTTGTTAACCAACAATCAATTAATGCAATATGTGAATCTTCAAACACCTCTCTGAGTATATTTTCAGCAGAGTATCTCAATGATTCCTTTCTCTCTTTTGAAATCAATTTGTTAACATATGGATCATGAATTTGTAAATTTTCAAAATATCTATATTTTGCCAACATTTCCAACCCATTATAATCTTTCAGAATTTTTCGTTTCCTCTCAAATCTTATTTGTGATTTAACAATGGTCAATAATTTAACACTCCTCTTTGAAATCAATGGATGATTCACAATAGAAAGAGTCTTTGACTTAAAACCAGTAGGATTCCGTTCAGCCATCTCATTCAAAATAACAATCCAAAACCGATCGAAACTCTCTGTTACAGTACGATAACAATCGGAACATGTTAGTGCCAAACTCATCACAGTTTTTAAATCATTTTTGCAGAATAATAAAATATCCATCAGAGAATCATTGGAGAGGGAAGTTAGTTTAGACATTTTTTTAAAATTATTCTTTTTTGATTTTGCAATTCTTTTTGTAATATTACAATAACAAAGAATTTGAAAATCGAACAATATATCAATAGAGTTTTAGAAAATACTAAAGTAATGTCAAATGTCTAATATGTGATGTGCACTTCTCTTTTTTCTAGACGGTCTACTTTTTTCACACTTTTCACAGTGTAGCCATTCAAACGTGGATGGCTTCATGTCTAATGCAATTAACAACGTTTTAATGTTTTGTGCTAAATTATGTTCTTTCAATTTGTACAAGAATTCAATAATTAGGTGTATCTTTTATTCCAGGGTCAGGGAATAGTTCTCATCCATATTAATACCATAGAGCTTTTGGCCTCATTAAGCTTATTGTGAGATTAGATAGAAAAAATGGAAGGTATGTAAAGCATGTTTGTCGCTTACTTAACAAGAGGCTGGTTATTTTACACAAGAAGCCTCTTCTTCTTCGGGAGAAGAATGTGAGGAGGGTGATGATGTTGGATCGTCTGTTCCTAACTCCAATGCTGCAAGAAGCAAAACAAGAAGTAGAACATCACCATCTAAACAACAACCAAAGGCCAAGAAAAAGAAGCTTCAAGATACAATCAA